CTAATCTTTCCTACTTTCTATTTATTCCCTAGATGGGGGGTACCCCGCCGTACTCCCCTTTATTAGCACTTCATGCCAACTTATAGAAAATGGACATTAAGAAGTCTGGCTGTGTGAGGGTGTTTCGTCATGTCACTGTAAATGTCAGATTGTAGCAGTTGTACCCATATTTATTACTCAGTCTTTAACCCCTTCCCGATGGGTCATGCCCTGAGGTGTCATAACAAACTGCTCAATCTGTGGAGTGCGGCTGTACACCGCAGCAATGCGCCAAAGTGCTATGAGCCGGTGATTTGGCTTGATATACTGAACTTCTGCGCTCAAAGTCGGCACATTGCCATTGATCTCTGAGTGTTTTTTTTTGTTTTTTTTTCTCCACCTGTCATTAAGGGGTTAATGCTTTTAAGATGGAAATGTTCATTTACCTCTGTTTTTGTGCATCGCTTTTAGTAACATTAACTCAAAATGTATGAAATGCTCCAGATTTTTCCCTGTGTTGAATGAAATAAAAAAAAAAAAAATATATAAGTTTTCAATTTTTGACAGTATGACATTCAAATACATGCTTTAGAATTCCTCATATGGTTTGATGTAGTCAGAATGAGTAATTTCTGAAAAGTGTACAGCTTGTAGTACAAGGCAAAATTTGTCTCTCATGGAGAGAATGATTGAAAATAATATACTATTTATCTATGGTATTACCTTTGCAAGTTGATGATATAAGTTGTGTAACATGTAATACTTTGGTATACATTTACAGGAAAATGTTATGGAATTATGATATTCAAATTGAAAAAAACAGACTTGCTAATACATGAAATAATCTGTTAAGGCAAAAAATAACAAAAAATTAAGAAACTGTCACAACAAATGCCGCTTGGAGAGAAAGTCCATGGTGGTCTAGGGACAGAGTATGGCAAATATGGCGATCAAGAGGGGTAAGGAAGGTTTCTGGTTCATACGGCAATGTTTGTGGATATCTCAGGAATAGCTGGAATAATAGGAATTAATCTCAGAAGCGTAAACTCACTTCATGAATATTATTAATACTTTCATTTATATCGTTTGTGATGGAAAATAAGAGAATAAAAAAATCTGACAACAATGGAGAACCAGTACAAACAGTGTCATATTAATTTATTGCCATTTATCATCAACCAAGGAACCAGTTCAAACTTCCATCTTTTTTTAAAATAATTTTTTGCTTTTTTCTATTTATTGTCAAACAAGGAACCACTCCGAGCATCATATTTTTATCCATCATATTTTTATCCATTTATTGTCAAACTAGGAAGCTGTCTAAGCTTGTTCTTGCCTATGCAGGTTAGAGATTCCTTTACCTTAGTTTTGAAAGACACAGAAGCAATTGTTTGATGTATCTATTACTAGTTTATATGTTAATACGATTTTCATTTTCAACTTGTGATAATTACGTCAAGGAAGGAAAATGTGTAGAGAGTTCATTAATCTGTCTATTCCATCAAATATTTACACTCTACTATGGGCTGTCTGTAATTTTTTGAGAATCAGTGTAGACGTTATTCTTGCTATTTTCATGTAAAATTTGAAAACAAATTAAAGACTTTGTTTATATAATTAATTTTGATGAGATAACATATGAAGTGATCATTTTCCCTACAATTTCTAGTAAATTTACCACTGATAAATTTATGATCATAAGTATGATCATAAGTATAGCCACCCTATCTTCAATAGATTTCCCAGCATCACTATAATGCTATGCCATTTTTTACCAGAGTGCTGCTAAAACTGTCTGTAATTGCAGATTATCATCTCTAAACTGCCATAGTATTAAATTTACACACCACTACATGACCATGACAATTCTCAGGATGGTGTGGATGGCTGCATTCAGCAATATTTACTCCAATTTTGAATTATTTCTTATTTTTTATTATACTTATCTATATCATGGGAATCACCAAGTGTTGTAAAAATAGTGTTCTGTTTTGTTGATTGTGTTACATATATTGCAATAATTAACTCATTTGTGACGGGTAAAAAATTAACAAAAAATGGGGAAAATGCTGTGCTCATTTTTTATACTTTTTGTGAAATGTTTCTGCAATAGATGGCTCTGCCTTACCTGATTTCATTTGGCGGGAAAATGTATTTTTTACTCGTGCTATGAATATCGATGGTTATTTTTATTATAAACATTATAGTTACTATAATGTTATAAACATTAGTAACAGCAAAATAAGATAACGTAAAATATTTTTGTAAATTAAAGAAAAGGGTAAACAGGCGAGACAGGCAGTACAAGTACAAGTGCAGCCATTTATGTGTAAAAACAATTGAACAAGTAAACTCACAGTGGGCATGTCACGCATACGTGACACACGCCGTGAATGGGTTTATTATGGCTTTCAGCAATTTTTTTACAAGCATTTCAGTCTTTTGACTTTGTATCAATATTTTATGAATTTTTTTAACCCATTCGCCATGGATTTATGTTCTATCCCCTGTAGTTTTTGGT